GTTGTTTTTGACTTTGACCTATATTTAATATATATTAGTTCGTCCCAGGTGACACCTTCCAGTGACTAAAATGCTTCACTTTGAAGTTAGTTTCCTAGCTGATTTTTAAATTACATAGGGTATATGCTTCAACTACGCTTACACGTTTCCACTATGTCGCACCACAAAAATACGTATGGTTATGTCACAATAGAAGCACGCCACAGTGGAAATCCCGAGCCATAGTTCAAACACTTATCCCAAATCAAAATGAAGCACATATAAGATTAGTTACACCATGTACAAAAATGGTGTTTAACATTGCTCGCTGAGTAATACCTCAATGAAAACAACAACGAAAGCTTGTCACGCAAATATGTAGAAGGAGCACTGTTGGGCACTTTTTGAAATATTTCAATAGTATAATTCCCTTGCAAACCCCAATAAATCTATCTGCGTAAAAATAAATAAAATAAGAGTGATTTGCGGAAAAACCCGCCAGTATCGCACCCAACGTCAGTGCCTATACGTAAGCGTACTACAACGCGGCTTTCAAATAAAGGAGTAACAAGTGTGATACTATCACTTCAGGCTAGAACTTTGGTTCTCTCATGCAATGGTTCATCAGAGAGGGGAAGTTCAGTTATCCTCATCGCATGCTCATGACGCTATTCTGTCACGGCATGAGCCAACGATGCCGGACCTAAACCAACCGTCTCCAACGCTCCACTATGAAGCATAAGATTAGGCCCGCCCACCAACGTCCAGGTTAAAAACTAGCCAAGGGGAGGGATAAACCGGGATGCTTCAAAAATCGAAATAAAAGCCAAATAGATCTATAGTCGCTATATTCATAGTCTGGAGGATAGAATCTCGGGAATCAACTGAGCTGTCAAATAGCGGAACCAATCGAGCAAATCACGACCAACAACAGAAAAGGGCACATCAGCTATTGCGAACAAAACTTCGGAAACCCTTTTCTCGTGACTAAAGGCTCGCCTACGCAAACGAACACCATCTTTGGGTTGGGGAAAGTTTCCCCTATCCGATGATGCTGATAATTTGCGTTCGATTGGCGAGGAAAGAATAATCAACGTTTTTTTTATACCGTACCATTTCAATTGTTGGTCTACAATATATTGAATTGGTTCCGCTTTTTGATAGATCGAAATTCTATCCGCCAGACTATACATATAGCGACTATAAATAGATTATCTCACAATCACACATATAACGAACTGTCAAGTCCATTCTAGATCAATCTGTGAAATGGGTCAATGTTCAAAATGTAAACAATGACTGTAAACGTCGATTTCTCGCGGATGAAGACTCATCCAGGCAAATCAACTGCAGCATCTGGTAGAGTGCACGGAACCGAAAAATTACCGAAAATTAAGTTCTTTTCACTCATCTCCCATGTACTGTTCAATAAGCTAATTTTCAGTAAACCACTTATAGTAGTTTACATTTGACTACGGCAAAAATAATTACTTACTCGTGAGTATTTTCTACCCAAAATTAAGTTCAATTGACTCAAATTTGAGGATATCTCATGTACTCACTAGTAGCTTATTGAACGATAGTCATGAGAAAGTCGAATCTCTCGTTCCGTTTTTGACAACAACAAAAAATGTGCGTGGGAACTCAAAATTACACAAAATTAAGTAAAAAGAACTTAAATTTAGGGTATTTTTTTCCTTTGTGGTAAGTTTGTTCTATCAAATGGTGTTATTAGTTTGCGCGGACGTGTTGAGCAATCGTGTAAAGTCATTATTTACATTCGGCTCATAGGACCTTATCACATATTGCTCAAGAAGTAAAGTCCGAAGGGACCCAATCGGAATTTTAATGCACGGCCGATGAGATCGACTCAAAATTGAGTGGTTTTCACTCATAATCGCAAAAATGTAGGTCATTCATGACTGAATATGAAGAAAAGCAACGAAAATTTTACTCAGTCTAAGAGTATACTAATAGACTAAGTAAAATCTCTCTCGACTTTCCTCATATTCGAAACGTTTTTCATGGAAAACCGAGAAATATTTTATTCAGCCTTGCGTTTTTGCGAATTTTGAGTGAACGGAACTCAAATATAAGTCAAATTCGCCGGCCGTGTGCTTTATGAAGTTAATTTTTTTTTCTAATACATACTGATTAATTCTAAATCTTATAAAATTTTGTTGAACATATCTTTCCTTTCGATTAATATTCATTTTTGGAATAAAAATCACTGTCACTGTTTCCCAAAGAGTGGCAATGATAAGAGAGAAATGAAATAGTAAGTTTTAACAGAAGGTTAAACACTCTGTCCTTCAGAACCTACGGGGCAAGCACCCTCTAACACACTTCCACCGGTGATGATTACTAGAGACGTACAAGGAATTATAGTCATTAGGTATAGTTCACGCAAACATTGACACTTTGCTACGGGATTTTTCGGTAGAGCAACCAAATAACAAAAGAGTCGCCATGTTTCACGCATCCAGTGACGTTTCCTTGTCGGATTTCCTCATAAGAGTAAAGAGTTATAGAAGCTTTGAAGACGAAAATTGACGTACCGTTTGGGCTTCGGGACTTTTCAGTGAAGTAAAGAGGTAAAGAAACCATCCGCTATGTTTCTCGAAACTGACATTTGATTATGGGATTTTCCTATAGGAGTGAAGAAATGCAGAATTATCTTCTACGCAAATGGTTAAAAATATAATTTCCGTAGGCCATAATTAAAAACACGTCCCTAAAGTTCGGCCCATAGTTTTAAAGCGCAAATTGCGTTAAATCTTCTGAATCACCGACACAAGTGAAAACTGCACACTTAAAAATAACTATTTTTACACGAGACGTAATCCATCTTTGACGTAAATTATGGAATGTAAACAAACATGTCATGTAAAATTAAGTGTTCCAAAACCGAAACATACGCAACTCGACGAAAAGTAAGATTGATTGAAATTATTTTCTCGTTTCTTTCGACTGATTCTTATGTCATTTAGGCCGCTTGCATGTGTCGGTCACAGGGCACGGAAATTTACATGACTTTTTGGTAGTGTGTGTGATATTGATTTATTAGGCTAGTTCTTTCAATTCATGAAATTATCTGGTTTTTGGATGACCATCACAGGGTAGATTTTGGTTAGTGCAATAATACGGCAATATCATGGCGCCTAAAAATCGAAAAATATGACAATTTCACTCAACTTTTTCTTTATAAAATAGCAATAAACGTTCTAAATTTGTCCCGAAAATAAGCAATTCATTTACGGATTACAATTTCACAGCAGTTTTGATAATAGTTTTTCATTACTATTATGTATATTATTGCTGAATAAATTAGTTATTTGCTTCATAGGCCGAAGTGAGGGGCTAGGCTGACCAACTATTTTACGAACACTACCGCAACTATAGGCGCAAAGGAGTGACAATCTTAAGGAAAATTAATTACTTTCCGACATTTTTGGGCTAATTTTAAGTTTGCAATCGGCTAATATGCTTTATTTTAGGAGAGCTACCGATACACAATTTCGGTACAACTACAACTATTACTCCACTATTACTGGAACACCTACTCTATTAAGTATTCTACAACTTTCATCTCACACTCTGAAGCGTGTGACACCGCATGGTGCTGATGTTAATGAGTGTGATCAAATATAAATATTTGGTTTCTGCTTTGCTGTCCCACCAAAGCAATTAAAACACCCCCAAATGTCAACCAACTATTTTCGCACCCATAAGTCTGGCATCATTGTAAAATGGAAACCGCGATTTTGCACGCTCCACCCGATTTCCAATTATTAACCCACAAATATCGCATAAATATACATTCCATTTATCCAAATACTTGACAAGGGGACCCATTCCGGGCGAATGCAACTTTTATCACCTAGGCAAAACTGCAAGATTTAATCAATAACGCGGGACTTAAAAGCATAATTAGTTTTTAATATCCACCGCCTGCCAGCCAACCCAATCGACCTCGAAAGTTCAGTGGAGCGCGAATAAATTCCACCCTCAAGCCAGGAGGACACGTACTCCCATGCATCTAGGTAGCAAATGCAGCAGCATCTGGCTGGCGAATGTTGGTCGTTTTATTAGCTCCAAAATCCACCGAATACCCCCCAACCGTTCCGGGCACAATTCCGGTGGATCGCTCTCGTTTATATAAGAAAAATGTTTATCCGATGAATTAATTTTCTCCACTGGAGCTTAGCCCAAAATGCAGGGGATCATGGAATGTGCACCGAGCCACGCCGCCAACTGCTGAATTAATAAACGTCACTCTTAATTATTATTTATGTCGCAGAATGTTTGAGCAATAACAGACGAAAAATCAACACACTCGCGGCGAGAATTAAAAAGAAAAGAAAAATAGACAACAAGCGCAATGAACGAAAAACGAAAGCACCATCTGATCAATATTGCAATTCAATTTTTGCCTAATCGTCATGTGGTTGTCCGCATTGGGTGGGTGGCACGCCCTATCCGTGTGGGCTATCGCGGCGTTGCAGGCGGATATTAGCAATTGACAGGGAGGTTCCATGCAAGGTTTATAACTCCCCGTCGACCCATCGTGGTCTTTTGGCCGAATAGGGAGCACTGGCCATCCCGCACAAAATGTTGGCGAGCAGTCAACGGACTGTGTGTTGATTGAATTTTCGCTGCCTCTGAATTCATCAATTTTCCATCGATGCAGCGCCATGAGTTGCTGACAATTGAATTTTATATTTTGAACTGATTCACAGTGAGGCTTTGTAAGTAATTAGAAGTGATAACCTCTCAATTAGGCTTGTCTTGGTGTGACTTTTACCCGACAATTTAGACGACACCGATCGATCGAAAGGTAAGAACCACTTTGAGTTGACATTCTAAATAGCGTTCCAAGGCATGGATGAGCAATCAATATCTGGTTAATTATTAACTCACTCGACCACCCTTGTAATACACTCTACAAAGTGCACATACCAACAAGCTATCAACTAATCCTTGTTCACTTTTTTTTCTGCCTCTCTCCCTCTCTTTATCAGGTCCTATCGCTCGGCGCCGATGTACTACCGGAATACAAGCTACAGAGTCCACGTGTTCACAAATGGACAATACTGCACTACTCTCCGTTCAAGGCGGTGTGGGACTGGATAATATTAATATTAGTTATGTATACAGCAATATTTACCCCGTACGTAGCAGCATTTTTGCTGAACGAACCTGACTTTAATCAAAGAAAGAATCGCAAATATGCTGATGACCCAATTGTGATAATTGATTTAATAGGTGAGTAAATGGGGGGCGTATCAACATGTTGGATTGAAAAGTGATTGGCGCTTTTAAAACGATTGCCTTTCACACCGTTTTCACTTAGCATTATTTAAATTGAGAATTGAGTTTATACGAGTAGTTCACATGGACCATTGAAGATGGTTGATAAATTCACAGACAAACAGACGTAGCGGTTAGAATAAGTTTTTCTTGAAAACATTGTTCCTCAAAAAATAGGACCTCAGCAACGGCATCTCTCGAGCTTCTCGGAGAAAACCAGCTAGCTCGCTAAGTCGCAAACAATTTTGCATGCAAGGTAAACAGAATACATGGAAACGTCAAAGTGATCCGATGCCAGTGCTGCGGTGAGTAACTAGTTCGCAGAAATGATAATATTCAAATCAGTCGTTGAATGCTTGAATGATGATCCAGAATGAAACGTTACGTCTGTCTGTCTGTGATAAATGGTACATGTCATGTAAATATTCAAACTACAGAATTCAAGCTTATCTCAACTTAAGGTGATTCCTTGTAGCATTCTATTTCATATTCCACTTTGCAATTTCACAAGTAAAAAAAATGGTTTGTGTGGCCCGTAGCTGAAACTACTTCTACTGTTTGCTACGGAGAAGCAAGCAATGTCTGAAATTTACAGATTTATAAACATCGTAAACCTTTAGATTAGTGCGCTTGAAATTACAAAGTAGAATCAGAAAAAGGATGCAAGAAGGAAACACTTTGAGGAAACATTTTACAGAATTCTCATATCACCTATTGCTGGCTTCGCACGTTTTCAAAAATCTAAATATTATCAAGTATCAAGTATCAAGTATCAAGTGGAAGTATAAAAATTTCAAAAATTATTTTCACTTAGACTTCATTTCAGATAGGAAAAAGCTCTCGTCGTTTTGTGCGAAATAATAAAGCGATTGCATTGAAACCGCTACGCAATCTTTGATAATTTAAACGAGTATTTATTTACCCGACGTTTCGACACGGGGATAGTGTCTTCTCCATGGGGACACTATCCCCGTGTCGAAACTTCGGTTTAATTTATCAATTTATTTAAATTATCAAAGACTCCGTAGCCGTTTCAAAACAGTAATAAACGATACAGTCGATCAACCACCAATTATAATAAAAGGAAAACATCAACGAGAGCTTCTTGATATCAGAAGTGATGTCTCAGAGACCACCATTTTTTAAATGTTGAATTACTCACTAGGTCAGTTTTACCTTAACAAATGAGAGGTATGCCCAGGCTTGCCTAAACTCCTCGAACTCAGATTATGCCGTATAAATGCTCATTCATCGTGAGCTAGTTCATCCCTCGCATATAAAGAGCAATGATGTCAAATGCAAAAAGTGCAAAAGAGCTCGAGCTCAGATTGAAGCTCAAGCTGGGCTTCCACAAACACGCTTCACGATGAGTGATGCGTTGTTCATTCTTGAGTGAGGCGTGATTGACATCGGCTCTGCTCACCAAACAACATTTTGAACTTCGGAATGGACTCGGTGAAAGCGTAAATATAGATCTTCGTTATGCATTCGGAGAGAGCACGCAAGGCCTTCGATTTATGCACGGTTCTTCCATTCAATATTATGATACCCAATAATACATTCAATGGACTATAGGACCATTCCCAGAGAAACGTAACATTCTGAGAGATTGATTTTTTTTAACTTGGGGACCACTTTTTGGGTTACTCAAACTCAGTCACACAAATCTCGATGAACATTTCAAATGGTCCTATCGGCTTTGATTGATTCTCTTCATCGACTTTCTCTTTTCATAACCACTGCTATGCAAACAGATTTCGCGCTAATTCTACCACATAGTTTGATAAAGGAGGTTCTTATCTAGCGTCCAAAACGTCAAATACAACAGGGAAAGGTTTTGCAGCTGAGTTATTGACGAAAGAGAAAGTCGATGAAGAGAATCGATCAAAGCAGATATGACCATTTGAAATGTTCATTGAGAAATCTTTGATCGTTTTTTCCATTAAGTGCTTTATGAGTGGATAATCGAAATTATTTTTCTGACTTAGAATACGAAGGAAAAACTAGTAAAAACACTATTTACTCCGTTAATGGATTATCCCTTGGTGCTGTTTTTGTATTCTCCTGTTGCCTTTTAACATGTTCATTTATTCAATGCACTACCGTCGTGTGTGCACAATAGCTCGGAAATCTTTCTTGACCTTAGGCGAAAAAGGCGCAACAACCCAACGTAAGCAACGTGTTTAATCAACGTCGAGAATCAAAACACTACCACGTAAACTAAAATTGCTAATCGCTAAAGGAAGTTTGCTCTATGTGCAACTCATACATGATATATAGCGTAGAAGTTTCTTTCTCCGACTCTATGTATGTATTCCTGGCATAGCCCAATATCTCTTGAATCTCAACTGCGATTTTAGTTTTTGACACAAAGGATGATCCGCTATACGATGACTAGACAGTTGAAATGCTGAAATCGTGGTTCAATTTACAAACACGGGAGCTATTCTGCTTTGCCTAAAATAGGGGCGTTTGCCGAGAATATAGAAAGTTACCCTACGAATACAATTGCCACTTTGGAGTTAAGGAGTATATGCATAGTCCATTCCATGCGCACTAGTATTGATGACCCGAAAGATAGGATAACAATAACAAACCATATTTTTTGGCTGAAGCTAAAGTGAGGATAGCAAAGTTCGCCCTTGGAAATGGGATTACGCAAGTGTGCGTGCTATAAACGTCAGAAAGGTCAATACGTTCCATAATGTTTCTTTTTTTCATTTCTTGGTTGCAGGGTTACTTCCACTCACTTGCTATAAAAAAATGTTTTTCAGAATTATGAAATCATGAAATGGTATAGTGATAATTAGAACTTGTAAGTTACAAGATGAGGACGTGAAGTATGTGTTTGACACATAAAATCTGTCAATATTGCTTTCAGTGCGTCACAATCAGCGATTTTACGACTCGTGAGTGCTCACTCTGAGTGAACGCTCACGTATCATAAGATCGCTTATTGTGACGCTCTGAAAGCAAAATTGACAGATTTTATGAGTCAAACACATTCTTTAAACCCTCTTCTCGTTACTGACAAGTACAACATATCATTTTATCATCTGATGATTGCATAATTCCGAAAAATATTTTATAACAAGTGAGTGGAAGCAACCCTGCTTGGTTGTGCTCTTCTTTCCAGAATACAATACAAAATCACTCATTCATGCGCACTGGGAGAAGCCATCAAGAGCCAAGCTCTATACGAATACATCACGAAGCTTCAAATTTACTGCTTTGCGCGAGCGCATCACGAAGTTAAAATTTCTGCTCGGTAGGCAGAGTCGATGAACACCCGAGAACGAGCTCTCTTTTTGGCAAGCGGATCACAGTACACACATTTTCATGAACAAAATTTCGACGGTGATCAGCCGATGGAGAACAGACGCCGTTTTGAGCCGCACCTCCGTGGTGAACAGACGCTCGGGTTTGGTGAAACAATTCCTCTATCACCGTACTATCAATTGGTGGAAACCAACGATTTTAAATTGACTCACACTTGACTAGCCTATTGGTCCTAATTACATCAATAAGCGTACCCCATTATTGACGAAATTCTAGTACTACACAATGTTTGTGTTGATTCGCTATGGAAGTTTGATAGATAAAATAAGGAGTGCATCGATTAGCTTGGGACGGAAGAGAGTACCAGAGCTGAGCCAAACAATTAAGTACGTTTCTTTGGGACCTTCTGGTTTTAGAGTTACCTCTATGGTACTATCAACAATCAATACGAAACTAACGATCTTAAATTGGCTCACCACTTTAGTAGCCTATTGGTCCCAAGCAAACGATTAACGTACCCTATTCTAGTTGAAATTCTATTACTACACTATGTTTGTTTTGATTCGCTATGAAAGTTTGACAGATAACATCAGGGGTGTGTGGATTCATGCAGAACATGCAGGGGTGAGTGAAATAGCTTGGGACTGCTTGGGACCGTTGTTCTGGTACTGAGTGAGCCAAAAATAATAATGATTTTCTTCGGGACCCAGTGGTCTTAGAGTTACCTCTATGGTACTATCATAGAGGTAACTCTAAGACCAGAAGGTCCCGAAGAAACGTGCTCAATTTTTTGGCTCAGCTCTGCTAATCGATGCACCCCTCGAAACACAGGGAAATCCACGAACCATTGTATCTGTCAAACTTTCATAGCGAATCAAAACAAACATAGTGTAGTACTTGAGTTTCGACTAGAATGGGGTACGCTTATAGCTGTACTTGGGACCAATAGGGTAGTCAAGTAATGTTATTACCGGACTGGCAACATTGCCCAGGATACGCAACCCAGCTGTGTCCATGTTTCAGCTGGGAGTCTTTTGTCTTATGACTCGGGGGGCGTAAGGTAGAAACTTGTGAGGACCAGAGCTAGGTATATCCCGCTCCTTACGTGTTGTTAACTCACTATTTTGTAGCCCTTCTTTCCAGATGTTTTATATTCATCGAACTTAGCTCGTTTTGCTTAGACATATTGAACTGACGGCTGGTTTCAAATATGTGGCAGGATTTTGAAGATACGGCTAGGGGTAATCGACTCTGCACACTGTGCCGAAGCACATCGTTGTACACTGATCGGTACGTTAGGGAACACGATGACAAGTGTGACACAGAATATAATATAAAACAGCATCACTGCTTTGTGTTGACATTTTGCCAAGGGTTGCTAAGGCATACTCTAGGGACAAGCCAGCTGTACTGAAAGTTAATATTTTGCTCAGAGTAAATTTGAGTAAAACATAATGTATGTATGTATGTATGTATATACAATCCAACTTCCACTGTCCGGCAGTGTTTTTATGGAAGAAAAATGTTTGCAATATAATGCATTATTATCTTATACTGATCACATTGCAAACAATTTTAACCCGAAAGTTGAAAGGCGATAGCTCTGTTGAGATTCAGTAACCCATTTCAGAATGCCTGGTCACTCACGTCCATTCCGAGGTTACTTTCACTTACAA